TGCTGGCCGCCCTCCCCCCGCAGCAGATCAGGGAGACGCGGAGCAGCTTATCTCACCCCGGAGGACATGGGCGGCGGAACCGCGGCGCGTCTGGGCAGTCCTGCCGCCCGCGTCCTCTGGGGCGAGAAAAGCCCCGTTCGTAAGTACGGATCTGACATAAGTCAGATCCGCGTAACCCGGGGACTGCCTGTACTGCTAAATCAAAAACATATACAAATCAATGAAATAATTTTCACAAGCACTGACATACTATATCAAACACTTAAAGATTAAGAGTAACTAGAAAATATACAAACAAGAAGTCCTGTGGCACCTTATAGACTAACAGATTTATTGGAGCATAAGCTTTCATGGCCAAAGACCCACTTTGTCAGCTGCATGCAGTGGAAATTCCAGAGGCAGGTATAAATATATAGGCATATGAAAAGAGTACCAATCAAGAGTAAGGCTAGAGACAACAAGACCAATTCAGTCAGGAAGGATGAGGCCCATTTCTAGCAGCTGATGTGGAAGTGTGAACATTAAGGCTGTGTCTAAACTACATGGCTCCATTAATGGAGCCATGTAGATTAGGCTGATCGGCAAAGGGAAATAATCGCGGCTTCATTTAAATTTACATGGCTGCCGCGCTGAGACTACAAAAGGAATTTCACCTCTCTTGGGGTACGTCTAAACTACATGGCTCCGTCGACAGAGCCATGTAGATTTGTTTGTTTGGCAAAGGGAAATGAAGCTGCGACTTAAATAATCGCGGCTTCATTTAAATTTACATGGCTGCTGTGCTGAGCCGACAAACAGCTGATCAGCTGTTTGTCGGCTCAGCACAGCAGCCATGTAAATTTAAATGAAGCCGCGATTATTTAAGTCGCAGCTTCATTTCCCTTTGCCAAACAAACAAATCTACATGGCTCTGTCGACGGAGCCATGTAGTTTAGACGTACCCCAAGAGAGGTGAAATTCCTTTTGTAGTTGGCTAGCCATTCAGCCTTTGTTTAATCCTAAATTGATAGTGTCAAATTTGCAAATACATTATAGCTCTGCAGTTTCTCTGTGGTATGTTTTTTAAGTTTTTTTGTTGCAGGATGGCTACTTTTAAATCTGCTACTGTGTGTCCAGGGAGATGTCATCTTTGCCCACAAAAACTTATACTCCTATTAATCTGTTAGTCTATAAGGTGCCACAGGACCTCTCGTTGTTTATGCAGAGTCAGACTAACACGGCTACCCCTCTGATACTAGAAAATATATATATATATATATATTACACTTGGTTTTAAACTAAGAAAGTGAGCCAGCTATATGAATCTCATTGAAGAAAATTAAAATGTACCTTCACCCACTATATATAAATTTTCTAGTAAAAACTATAGCATATAGCAATGTGAGAAACTGGATCTAGAGAAATCACCTACATTAAGAGAATACCAATATGAAGAACTTCCAATGCCTGTATCAAAGCCTTAAGTGAAATTGTAAGCACCCTATGAAAATATTTATTAACAGATCAAGTTGGACTACTCCAAAGCAGAAACACACAATTCAAGACCAACCATAACCTGTATAGTTTATTAGAATTTTATATCATATAAAATACCTCTCTAAAAATTGGCTAATACTAGCTTCTAAATGAGCAAATTAAGAACTGAAAAGTTCTTCTTAAAATCCAGTGGCATCACACTAGTCTTCCATTTCTAAAAGGAAACTGTTCCGAGCAGTGCAATAAGATATTTCTTACAGGACTTGTTTTTTTTTTTTTGTTAAATGATCCAATAGTGAAGAACTATAATAGTAATACAGGCAGTCCCCGAGTTACGCGGATCCGACTTATGTCGGATCCACAATTACCAACCGGGCTCTCTCGCCCCGGAGCTCGCAGGCAGCGGGACTGCCCAGAGCGCAGCGGTCCTGCAACCTCCACCTCCGGGGCGAGAAAAGCTGTTCCAGGTGCCCCTGGTCTGCTGGGGACCATCTCCAGCAGACCAGGGACACCTGGAGCAAAGCCAGGGAGGCGGAGGGGTCCCGCGCCTCTGAGGCTTTGCTGTGGCAAAGCCGGGGAGGTGCGGGACTCCGCCGCCGCTGCCGCTTTGCTCCCAGTGCCTCTGGTCTGCTGGGGACCGTCTCCAGCAGACCAGGGACGCTGGCATAGTGGGTGCCCAAGCTGCTTGGAAAATCACAGAATCCATAACTTCCATGACCTCTGTGACAGACTCACAGTACTTAAGATCTGAAAATATCAAAATATATTGTTATATGGTACTTCCCTTGTTCTAATAGTTCAGTGGTTTTCAACCTGTAGTCCCTGGACCCTGGAGGTCTGCAGACTATGCCTAAGGGGACCACAACTTCATTTGGAATTTTTTAGATTTTCACAAATGAAAAAGAAGGTTAAAAACCCCTGCATTAGTTAATCACCCTCATTGTTAAACTAAATAACTAAGAACCTAGAACTACTGATGAATTATTTCATGATACTGTGACTCCTCTGCAAAGTAAATCAATAAATAAATTTGAGTTACTAAAGCAAGAAATCAAATTGTCAGTACTATGTTTTCAAAGACTTTAAATAAAATCACAAAACAGATGTGCGCTGATTTCAAAGCCATTGGGTTTCTTTCTCCTCTTTATTTCTGAGCCCTGAGATCTCCTCACGCGGAAGAGCCAAACTGTGAAAAAATACACCCAATTTATATACTCTGAAAGCATATACAGGCAGTCCCCGGGTTACGTACAAGATATGGGAATGCCTGGGGTTCTTAAGTTGAATCTGTATGTATGTCAGAACTGGCGTCCAGATTTAGCCGCTGTTGAAACTGATCAGTTTCAGCAGCGGCTGAATCTGGATGCCAGTTCCGACTTACATACAGATTCAATTTAAGAACAAACCTACAGTCCCTATCTTGTACGTAACCCGGGGACTGCCCGTATTCTGTATTACTATCTTGAACATAAAATTTTCAATTAGGTACCTTTTTGCTTTTTCCGAGATTTGGGTGGTTTCTTCTCTCTTGAACTTCGTTTTTTAGGAGCTCTTTGCTTCCTCTTTTTTTCATCTGCCAGTACCTCTTCAAGCAACTGGGCAAAGAATTCGAAGTCAAACGGTCGCTTTTCCTCTGTCCAATTTAAAAAAAAAGTGAAATATAAATGGTTTCACAATTAATCAAGTTATTCTTTAAGCTTCTGCTTTTTTTGAACAAATAGCTCAGGTGTGATTTCCATAGCAAACCACCACATTCTATGCTGCATTTCATGACCAGTCAGTATCTTTTACACAAGTTGCACTGAAAAGCTTGCAGAGACCAGAGGTAACAAGTATTAGGCATACAGAAGCTCAGTTTTAAAAAAAAAGTAAATGAAAAACCCTTGAGAGTCTAAGAGAAAGTTTCACATAATCACTTGAAAAGTTCTGACTTATGACAAATATTCAAGCTGTATCAACATCAAATTATGAAACATTGCTAAATGAAGTAGACACTCATTTTCATGAAAGTAACAGTGCTATATATAAAAGCGACAAGGAGTCCTGTGGCACCTTATAAACTACTAGATGTATTGGAGCAAAAGCTTTTGTAGGCAAAGACCCACTTCGTCAGATGCATTGCTTTTGCAGATCCAGACTAACACGGCTACCCCTCTGATACTTCGTACTAGCTATAAAGTTCTTGTCATTCAAGATTCTTAGAGTGCTCTACAATTATTAACTAAATGGATACTCATCATGTGACATCGTTTCAAATGGGGAATAATAATTAACTGAGTCACTCTGAGATACATAGATTTTATGCTTAACCCAAATCAGACACAAAAATCAATAACACAGCTGGAACTGAAATCTAGAAATTGTACTTTAAGTACTACATTAACTTCTAAATTTCAAGTCTTTGGAACCAACATCCTAGAAGTGGGCTTTGCCCATAAAAGCTCATGACACCATCTACATTTTTGTGTTAGTCTCTAAGGTGCAGCAGGACTACTCACTGGTTTTTAACCTATTGTAGAGTTAATTTATTGGCTCAAACTAAAGCACACAAAAATTGCATATTCATAAATAAATTCTTCTGATTGCGTGGTAAGTAAAAACTTACTGAAAGCTTTATCTATCCTCCATCCATTTGCTTTTTCCTCACGTTTAAACTTGTTCTGAAAAAGTATACATTTAAAATATATTAATCCTTCTCAATTAAGCAAATGATACAGTACTACAGATATAAAAGGTTGCAAATTAGGACAAAAAAATACTCATAAACAGGGCTTGACAAATGGCGGTGAAAGCCGCTTGCCAGCCTTGCAATGCGCATGCGCAAGAGCCGCATTGCACATGCGCGCGCCGCCGGTAAATGGGGCGCGCAGCTGCAATCTACTCACCATGGGCGAGTAGATTCTATTGTTTGTCGAGCCCTGCTCATAAATAATGGAAATGTTTCCCACTAGGAAAAAGTTGTAATTAACTGTAGTGAGGCTGAGTGGCCTCCCACAGACCCAAAAGGGGAGGGACCACTCCAGAGCCAGGCCGTGCTCAGCCCCTACCACTGGAAGTCAGTGGAGGAGACAGGAAGTTTAAGAGGCAGTCTGGGAGCTCAGATGGGCTGCAGCCGGTGAAGGAGCTAGATGCCTCCTACCTGCTCCTGACCTGGAAGACTGCCACAGGACCCTGTTATGCTGAGGACTGGCTGATACTGCCAGAGTCACCCACAAAACAAGCTCCAGAGGAGTTGCCCTTGGCCTTCTACCCAGATGAACCAGAAAAATCCCTACAGACCCAGGTATGCCTCATGGGGGAAGACAGAAAGTAGCCCCAGCAATTAGACAACCATCTCGTTGAGAGCTGGCCTCTACCACTGTTGGGGCCCAAGTCCCCGCATCTGCCACCCCACATTTGAGGTGACAGCAGTATTTCCCTTCCATATGCCAGGCGGCCTGCATCTCCCTACACTGAGTGAGGACACTAAGCTCTAACCCTGCCTGAGCTCCCCTAGACTGTGTTTGATGTTCTCTAAAACCCTGCCTGAGCTCACCTCATCTGAGATCGGGTGCTGTACCCTGCCCTGAGCCTGGAGAACTTGTTGACCTGCCTTAAGGGTCTGAGCCCTGAACTATTTGTTTGTCACTTGGCTCTGAGTATAGGCCCAAGAACCCAGATTCTGGATAGTCCCGCCCCAACTATGGGCTCTGGTCACTCTTTGCCGCTCGGCCCAGAGTACAGGTCCGAGACCCAAACAGGCTATCACTATGCCTCACTCACTGACCTGAGCTGCAAGCCAAGCGTCACTCAACTAATTCCCCAATTGTGAACATTGCCCATGATGTAGTGATGCAGAGAGGCCTCCCACACACCCAAAGGGAGAGAGGTCACCACAAACCCACTACACTATCACTCATTTAATTGACAATTATATGGGCTTCAAATTAAAAAGTTTAACTAATTTGCATCAGCTCAAGAAACATTTTATACATTTCAGGCATTTTATTTTGGATAGTAACTACATTCTGGAAATGGAATGTTACTGCAAATTTTACCCCAGAACCAAATAGCATTGAAGTAGGAATGTTTAAAATGTTAACTGATTAAACTATACGTTTAACCGGCCTGGCACATCATGTTACATTCAGGGGTCCCCTAGAGCAGCTACCCCGCCCACAGTGCAGTGGGCTTGGCCAGGCCTAGGCACCAGTTACCCTGGTAAGCATGCTGGTAAGGCAATGCTTACCAGGTAACCAGTTAACCTTTTACATTTCTAATAGAAATTTATTAAAATACTGTATAAAATAGCATGCCAGAGGTTGAGAACAAAAGCAATGCTGACAGTTGCACGGGTAATAGTCTCTGCTTTATTTACCTTAATCTCCGTTCTTGCTCTATGAGGAAACAGTTGACCTATTAGAGAAAAGTCTGTTCCCACCATGCTGATAGCTAAGAAGAACATGTCAGTTTCTGTAACAAAAATATGAACACACATAAGTATTTAATGCTATCATCCTATTTACTATATAACCAAAATCTTTACATTTAAGTGAGAAAAAAATATGTATAGCCCATATATTCAAACACAGAGCTAAATTCCAAAGTAAAACCATCTCCTCTGTACTTCTGCAAACCACAGGCCATTACAGTTCACCCAGCTACCCCTGTATTCAAAGTTATTGTTGCTTGAGTTTGCTCCAATTCTAAAGCTTCCTGATTTTATTGAGGAATGCTATATCAAATGTTCATCTAGGTACTTACAGCATTTGTGTAGCTTCTAAGCACCTAACAAGATGAAAAACATATCAAGCTAATTATTATAATTTTATTTTATATATATAAACTTGAAACTATTCATTGATTTTTCCCTACCCTTCATACTCCAATACACTAAATATCAGCATGCCTCCTGAAAAATATTCTCCTCGTCTCATGACTTAAGAGGGGAGAAGTGATTCAGGTACCATCAACACTACACACGCCAATAAAGACCAGTATAGTGACAATTTTTTCTGTAAAACGTAATGTAATTTTGTTAATGAGCAAGCTATTAAATCAGGAAGATAAAACACAGAACAACAACCTGCATCAGGAATTATGATCATGTTCTAAGAGTTTACTCGAAATAAGTTGCTTCTGTGGTTATCAAATGCTTCAAATTAAAATCAGTTTTTAACCACCTAGCACAAGGGTGGGCAATAATTCCAAGATTTCAGAAAGTGGTCAAGGGTCACACTTTTCCATGAAGGAGATGCAGGGTCTGGGACAGAGGTTGGGTACAGAAGGAAGCTTGGGGTCAGGGATTGGGGTGCATGCGGGAGAATGGAGTCTGGGTGAAAGAGACCGTTGTGACATAGGGCAAGGGACTGGAGTGCAGGGATTTGGGATGTGACATAGGGTAGGAAGGGATTGTGATCTGGGGCAGGAGATTAGGGTGCCAGATCTGGGAAAGGGTAAGGGTGCAAGAGGGGGGCAGAGGGTTTGGGTATGTTGATTGGGGAGCAGAGGAAGTGAGGGGCTGGGGTGCCAGAGACCGGCTCTGGCTAGGAGAATTACCAGCCAGGAGCCTTCCTGTTTGCAGTGCTAAAGGCTTGCAGAGCTTAAAACATTTCCCAGTCAGCCAGCCTGCTTGTCCAGCCATGTGCTTTAGTGAATAACTGAGTTGAGTAGAGGGGGTGTGGTTCTTTTTGGCAGCCTGTTAGTCTAACAAGCAGTTCCCATTGGCCAGTTCCTGGCCAGAAACCGACCAATGGGCTTGTGCTGGGTGTGGGGGCAGCTCCTGAAGCTTTCCCCCCTTCACTCCAGTTTTGAAACAGAAACGGGGCCCAGCAACCGTGTTTGAGTGGCATGCATGACTGTGGGGCAAGCAGGGTAGCCTGCCTAGGGCTCCCTGCTGACTCCACAGGCCAGATCCAGTGGCTTGGCAGCCCGGATCCAGCCCACAGGTCATATTTCGCCCAGGCCTGACCTAGAAAACCAATTTCCTCTATACTATGCCTTGGTGAACAGTATACTTCGAAGTTAAATAATGCATGTTCTAATCAAATAATTTAGCTTCCACAATTCATATAATTTTGGTCTATGAATAACTACTCACTAGAAAATGTTGAAAATATTGCTGAGGTTTTATTTTATATGTAATTACTTTAGAGCTATTGTAATTTTATAGTAATGTTTTGTACTCATCCAAAAGCAGGATTGATGCTATGTTTAATTAAAAATAAAGCTTTGCCACTAATAATTTTCTCTTGCATTTCACATTCAAAAAGTTCCTTCATCTTTAATGAATAAGCTTATTTTTGTTTATCTTGGAAATGTGTTATTTTCGAGTTCTCAGATTAAAAGAATGCTAATAACTATGACATTTTCGGCTTAAATTACTGTGTGTTACTTTTTTAAATACCTTTATTATTACTATTATATCAATAGTCAAAGAATCCAGATTTTTAAAATAAGCACACACTGATCTCACTGGTTCGGTACAGAGTACTAGATCAACATTAATTCAGGAATTTTAATTATCTTGTTCATTTCAAATACAACCACAAAATGGAACAAAACCTTATTGTTTTTTTAATTGCTCTTTATTTGCACAATGTAATGGGGCTCCAAAGAGTGAGAGAGAAAAATAAGAAATGGAACACCACAATCTTCAATGCAAGAATTTGAGAAAGTGTTGTCATACCAGGGATGTAAAATCCTGGGTAACCACAGACAGGGGCTGCACCGGAGGCATTGCTAGAGCAGCCCCTACCTCTGATGTACTCTTGCCGGAGGCCCCACAGGAATAGGGGAGCTGCTCCAACCCTACCAGTTTATAAGAAACGGTGAGCATCACCTGTTAAGGGTAATGCTTACCAGTTAACCTTTCACATCCCTATCTCATACACAGTGCTATCACATTTTGCTGCCAGCAAATAATAATGGCTAAATTATGGTAGACACAAGCATAGTGTACTGCATCCACAAAACTTAGGTTTACATATAGTAGGACAAGAAGCAATGGACTCAAATTGCAGGAAGGGAAGTTTAGGTTGGACATTAGGAAAAACTTCCTGTCAGGGTGGTTAAACACTTGTAAACTCCAGAACTGGAGATTTAAGAGCAGGTTAAACAAACATCTGTCAGGGTGTGGTGTTAAGTCTTTCTGTGAGTGCAGGGGAGTGGATGTTATGACCTCTTGAGGTTCCTTCCAGTTCTAATATTCTATGATTCTCTGCAAAGGCAGTACAGTACACAGATCTCTCACACCATTTATTCCAATACCATGCTAGAAGGACTATGAGTGTAACTGTTGCCAGATTAGGAAGTATACATGATTTAATATGTGGTTTATACAACCCAGTCCCCAGTCCCATAATGACCATCCTGTCAGAGGCAGATTTGAGTGGTATTTCCTCTTCTGGAATGGCAACAAGCCCATTATCTCACTGGCCCATTATTTCACTGGGTGTAGGGTTTCCTAAGTAGGCCTAAACTCGTGTAAGCTAGAGCTTGATTCATTAAAGCCCTCATCCTACAACTTATGTAAATAAGTGATTAACTCTCCATACAAATAGATGAATCAAGGTCAATGGAACTACTCATATATAAAGTTTAGCATTCGCAGGATCAAGACTTTAGTCGTCTATAAGCTTAAATCTTGAAACTAAAATATACCTACCTTTATTTGACCATGGTTTGGTATAAAAACTTTTCCTAAAGCTGGAATAGGTAGTTGTGGAGCCACGTTCAAAGATAGGATCATTTTCTTCTACAACACATGACCCTTTTGTCCTTAAAACTTCTACAGTTAAACTGGAAAGAAAGCAACCCAAGAACATCAGACATAAATAGTGTCACTGGAGCAATAAAAACTGAAGAAACACACTATCTGTTGAGACCTGCATAGATTAAAACTCTTCCTGCAATATTCCATTTAGTCAACCATACCCCTCATTTGGAACCAGAAGTATACAATGAGGCAATGCAGTACAATACTGAATTAAATGTCAACTACTAATACAGGGATCATTTAAAAAAAAGACTTGACAAGGCAAGAAAACTATCTGTGCTTGTTTAATTTAAATTCAGATGGTTAAAAGTAGCATCTTTCTTCTGCAGTGAAGTTTCAAAGATATATTGAATCAATGTTCAGTTTTAAACTTCTGAAAGAACAACTGTAATGTTTTGTTCAGAGTTACGAATATTTCAGAATTACAAACCACCACCATTCCAAAGGCATTCATAGCTGAGGCTCTATTGCAACTGTTCACTTTAACACAGGGGCCCTCAAACTGTGGGTCAGAACCCTACAGTGGGCTGTTATCCCATTTTAATGGGTCACCACGCATGGTGTTTGGCCTGGGCTCAAAAGCACAACCCTAAACCCCACTGCCAAGGCCTAAGCTCACATGCCCCTTGATCAGAGCACAAGTTGTTGGGCTTCAGCTTGGGCTCTCCTACCTGGGGCAGGAGAGCTCAATTGGGCTTGGTGTTTGGTCTTCTCTCCTGGGATTGTGTACTAATTTTTGTTGTCAGAAGGGAGAGTCACTGTGTAATGAAGTTCATGTTAGAAATACAGAACATACCTACATTAACATGTAGTATGCCCCAATGTCTCCGATATGTTTGTCCAATTAATCTTGAACTTTCTAAGAAAAGTGTTTTGCAAGGTAACACAGAAGCAATTCTTCGTTTCCTTTTGACAGTTCCAAATTCTTATACCAGGACTTCCCTAAGCTCGTGTAACCCAAATACTAACCTTATAATGATGCACTGTGGATAGCCCTACTTTGCTATCCAACCTGGAACTAAATTACAAGGTTTCATGTAAAATTATGAAACCAGATAGTTAACTCAGTGAGCAGAAGCTACACTGTTAACCAATCTGGAAGCCAGACAATTAATCAAACATAGCATGGGACTCAGTTGCAGAATACCTTTCTTCATCCAGAATAATTGAACCATCTTCTGCTACTTTCACTCGAGGAACCAGAAGAGGACCATCATTCTCCTCCTCTTCCTCTGGCTCAGCTTCAGCCTCCTCATCTTCATGATCAGGAGCACTTCTCTCTTCTGGTCTACAATTTTGGAAGATTAACACTTTAGCACATACACACAAGTAGCATTTTCTTCTCATCACTATGGATCTGCTAGAATACCCCACGCATTATTCATCCCCATGTTAATCTGAAGATTTTTTTTAAAAATGCTTTATAAATAACATGTCAGTTCACTGGATACACATAAAATTAACATCAAACAAATTTTAACTAACTGGCTGCAAGAATAACTTTCTTGGGATTATATGTACCCAATAATTATTATTTTTAAAAAATTATGGAAATAATATCAAACGTATTGCCATGAACAACAAGATACTCATCACAACTAAGCTGTCCCAGAAAGTCTGTGTAAATAGATTGCTTTCTAGATTCTGCTTCTGGACAATTTATCTAATGACCACCATTTTTTCCTCCATCTTCCTACCATCTAAAATAATTCATTTAAAACAAGGGGAAAAGTTTACCACAAAGCAAATTAGGAATCAGACAGTCCTTTCTATATTATATATAAAAAATTTACTACTTTCCCAACAGAAAGGATTATGACTTTAAGCACCATAGAAACAAAGGCTTACTCTTTCATTTGGACCTGTGTAGAAGTCTTCTCGGTTTTCCTTTCTTCTGCTAATGAAGACCTATTAACAAATATTAGACATACAACAATAGAATAAATTAATGCATCAATGACTAACAGAAATAAGACACCCCTGAAATCTGTGCTGTGTCCAATTGGAAGGCAAAACATCTTTACTAGGGCACTCTCTTTATGCCATGCTAGTGCATCATCTAATGCCATAATCTGTAAATATCACTAAGTGACTTGAGCAACTAGAGATATATAGTTCAGGAAAATTAGTAGAAGAACCTACTGTCATTTTACTGAATCCATCACATAACATTGTAGAACTACGCCAAAATGCAATAGAGTATTCTTAATTTGTGCCAGCAAGTTCTATATAGACCAACAGATGTGTAACTTGTTAGTGTGCATCCCATCCATGTAATACACACTGCTGCTCCATGAAGACATACCACAAGTCCTTTGATCTCAGACCAGTTACTAACAGTGCCACTACTACCAGCACAATTGGCAACAATGTTAGCAAAGCTTGTAGAAATGCCAAACTTCCAATGGATATGCAAATTGTACTACCCTATTACTCCTAGGAATGGTCCTTCCAGGGAGGGATTATATTCTCAGAGCTGTGACATTATTTCTGTGCCTTGTTCCACACTACACATGGTTAAGGATACAATTTAGTCATGAAGCTCACAGATTGTGATGTTACTGGACCTCAATGTTTTCTGTTTCAGTTGTCATTGGTGGGAGTTAAGCAGAGGCCATGTACCACCCTACAAACCCTGTGGCCAGAGCTGGAGCTGTGCGCCCCCCCCCCCCCCCCCCCCCCCCCCCTCCCCCCGAACAGAAGCCAGAGCCACCCTTGTGTCCCCCAATCCCATGGTTTCACCAGGGTCTGTAGCGAGAGGTATTCCCTCCCCCATGGTGGTTAGTTAGCTCATGGGGATCCAGGTGTCATTCCTTTCCTCCTCCTCCAGCTTGCTTCCCTCTGTTATTTTTAGTAAAATTCCTAGGTCTGGACTCTTGTGAAATATTGTTTATTGCCTGTGACCTGTGCATGACTTTTACTAAAAATCACCGTGACAAAAGTCTTACAATACATGCATGGAACACCAATAGTCCAAACTGATACATATTATCACTCCCCTCTCAATCTCACTATCTCTGCCATGATGCCTATTAAAATCAGCCAATTTATGATGGCTACATTGAAAGGAAACTTTCATCCTAAAATTAAGGAAAATTCAAACATAAGTTCATGTATATTTCATTTTTATCATCCCATTCTTCACTTATTACATGTCTGTTTACATTGAAATACTTCAGGGTATGGACCATGAACCATGTCTCCATTTGTTTGTACAGAACTTAACTCAAGACCCTACTCCCGACTACAATACAAATACAAAGTAATAGCGATACAGTATTCACAAGCTTATCCTGCCACTACTCAGGCTTTTATCTGTTCTACAGATAAACATGACTTCAGTATTCAAGACTAGCTGTATAGTACTTTTCACATAGGATTAAATGAGTACACACAGACAAAAATAATTTACCTTTAAAAGAACTGTACTTACTTCATAGGATTGTTTTCTGGCAGGTAGTATATTAAGTCTCTCATTGTCATTTTGGAAGGATCTGGTGGAGTTTTTCCTTCAATTATTGTAGGTCTATTTTGCCATCTTTTCTGCATACCAAATACACATTTATTTAGATTTTTCTTTACTTACAATCATGTTAGAGAAAACAAATTGTGTAACTTATTTACAGCATCCCTTTCTCAAAGACACCATCAACCTCACTTGACTTGGTTTCTCAAGAGATGTTAATGCTCTGAGTGGGTTTCAATGTGTAGATCCAGAATCCAAGACACTAGTGTCAGAGACTAGAACAACTGAGTTGTGCTAAATCAAGAAGCCTAAGGCTCTTCAGATAGTGTTTTACCTTTGCCTAATTCAAAATAAAACACATACAGGCAGTCCCCGGGTTACGTACAAGATAGAGACCGTAGGTTTGTTCTTAAGTTGAATTTGTATGTAAGTCGGAACTGGCGTCCAGATCCAGCCACTGTTGAAACTGACCAGCAGCAGCTGAATCGGACACGCCTGGGGCAGAGCAGCTGGGGGGCTGCCGGGTTGGTCCCACAGCGCTGAGCTGTGGCACTACTGGACCAACCCAGCAGCACCCCAGCTGCTCTGCCCCAGGCGTCCTTAAGTCAGCTGCTGTTGAAACTGACCAGCAGCAGCTGAATCGGACACGCCTGGGGCAGAGCAGCTGGGGGGCTGCCGGGTTGGTCCCACAGCGCTGAGCTGTGGCACTACTGGACCAACCCAGCAGCACCCCAGCTGCTCTGCCCCAGGCGTCCTTAAGTCAGCTGCTGTTGAAACTGACCAGCAGCAGCTGAATCGGACACGCCTGGGGCAGAGCAGCTGGGGGGCTGCCGGGTTGGTCCCACAGCGCTGAGCTGTGGCACTACTGGACCAACCCAGCAGCACCCCAGCTGCTCTGCCCCAGGCGTGTCCGATTCAGCTGCTGCTGGGCAGTTTCAACAGTGGCTGAATCTGGACGCCAGTTCCGACTTACATACAAATTCAACTTAAGAACAAACCTACGGTCTCTATCTTGTACGTAACCCGGGGACTGCCTGTATTTCCACAGGATTGCAGCTGCTGAGTTCTCATATAAATGATAGATTCAACTTCTAAAAATGAACTGTTAATTAAAAAATAGTTAAAAGCACTTTTAGATAACTATGAATGCTCCTGACCTGCTATTGTGTGTGGCTTTTTTCAATTATTGTTGTTGGCAGTGAGAATAAGGACTTGTTATAGTATATGAAACCATTTTTTAAAAAATTAATTTTCAAGTTGATTTAGCCACCTAAAGGAAAACTGCTGCCTTTTGTCCCCTTATTATATTTGTCTTCTTTATTGAAACATACAAATCTTACATTGTGCTGCTCTACTCTGTTTTCATTAGACTCTCATGAGGTTGAATAGTTATTAAATGTTAACATCCTCAAAAAATAACCAACATTCACCATTTTACAGTTGAGCTAATAGAACAATAGAAGTGAAGTGAGCTGTCCAAGGTAACAGAACTGAGTCAACGAAGTTGACTACATAACAAAAAAGCCAAGTCCTCATCCCATCTGCTGTGATTACTAATTATAAAAGTATATAGTAAAAACAAATCAGCATTCTGACTGACATGTTAGCTGGGGTCTTCAGATGAAGGTCCACTAATAGAACCGCCCCATCACCATCTTAAAAAAAATTATCAATTTTATACCAAAGAACACTCACTCCTTGTGATAGTATAAGAGCTACTACACCCTGCACAGGTTGCCAGTACAATGCTGCTGACATCACAGTCGCTTTAAAATAGCAGAACATACTGGAATTGACCCACAGGGACCTGGCAAATGTTGATCCCCTTTTCCGTTTCTGATCTGCCCCAAGTGCCAAAAGCAGGACCTTACCATCTTCTCTTTCTTCAGCTCTTCTTTGAGCATCTCTCTTAACTTCTGAGCTTTGAGGATTCTTTCACGGTCTGAGCACTTTTGTTTATTTTTTGTTAGAGGTGGTTTTGTATGTGGCATTTCCCCCTGTGTGGGTCTCCCTTGGGAGGGTCTCTCCTTGAGAGGGCAGAGTGAGTTCTTCTGGAGAACTTCATCATTTTTTAGAGCACTTACACTCACATTTGGCTCTCGGCTCACTGATTTTTTAAGTGGAGAAAATTGTGGCACTTGTGGGACAGGTGTTTTCTTTTCAGGCAACATGGGAGACTTTGGAGAGCATTCTGCATTGGTCTTTTCTGATTCCTTCTGAAGTGAAGAGTTACCATTAACAGAAGACTGAGGTATTTGTTTTTGAGAAGACTTTGATACTGAACGTTGTGCAGATGGAAGTGTAACTCTGGGTTTTGCCAGATTAGGCATAGTGGATATTCGTTTTCTTCTCTGTACGGGTGTATCTGCAGGTTTTTTAACTTCGTCATCATTTGCACCACCAGTCTTTTCATCTCTGTAGAAAATTAAAACATATTTTACTCTAATCCTTACAATCATAGTTTTGCTACTTTTAAGATGGCATTGAGTGGAGTACATCTAAAGCCTAAATACAGTACTAAAGAAAAAATATTACTATTTGAGAACCTTACCCAAGAACCCATATTTAACCAAACCAAAACACATTGAATGCTGCCTTGTACATTAAGAAAATATTCAATCTTCCAAAAATAAGAGTCCTCAAAACAGTATTAAGTTCATAGCAGTTGTGATTAACATTTAAGTAGTCAGACTCGTTTTTTTATGAAATGCTCTTTACCTTCAGTCTCACCATACCTGGTGATCTATAAGTGTAATAAAATACTGGAGAATAGTTAATGCCCAAAATTGAAATTGTATAAAAGTGTTTAATAAAGTCAGATGTAACAACTGTTTTTACAATTTTAGATGTCAGGAAAAAGTCTTAATTTAATTCAAATTCCTCTGCAGTATTTGCAACCCAAATATATCACTATGTAAATGCTTAAAACCCTGAGTGAAACTGACAAGAAATCACTCAAGTTTCACTGTCTATCTATACCAAGTATAGTCAGCAGCCTTTCCTAGGTGAGTACGATTTTAAACTTTTATTTAAAATGAAACTATATTTTTCAACACTTCAAGTTGCAAAGACAGTATTCCCAACACAAACCAAAGTGCAAACCAAAGCACTGTTATCTTCCTAACTCTGCAGACCAGTCCAGTGCCTCAACTGCTGATCATTGCTTGGTCAAGATACAGCAGCAGGGACATTAGATAGTGTGTAATTGAATAGTGGTGTAATCACATTAAATAACTACATGACTATTCGATAGTCCCTGGGGACAGGGCTGGAGTCAGTGTACTCCGACTCCACACCCACAAAGTCCCCTGTCACTGCAAGCAGCACAGGTTGGCAGGCAGGAGCTTCTTTCGAGAGGATCTGGTTTAAAAAATGATCCCCTGCACAGACAAGTTCCTGCCTGCCACCCTGTGCCTCCGTACCAGAGACAGCAGCATGGGGCAGCAGCAGCCTTTATCAGAGGCAGCAGTGCAGGGATGGGGGGTGGCAGGCAGCTCAACAGAATCTGGTACTCGTGGGGAGCCATTTTAAAAGCTGACTCCTCACAGGCACCAGCTCCTGCCTCCCCCAACCTTGCTGCCTCTGATATGAGGCGGGGAGGCGAAATGCATGTAGTCAACGGGATTAATTGATAAGCCCAGGCTTATTGGTTAATTGTGTAGTCATCTACACATTGACATCCCTATACAACAGTGGTGAATGAAAAGATTTTTTTTTTATTATTAAGACTTGTGCACTTTTTGTGTTTCTGAATGATCTATAAAGGAGGCCTGGAAGGTTTGTCCCTGGTTGTATTTTTAACTTTCAAAGTATCAGGAATGTCAAGTCTGAATAAAAAACAATTCCATAAAATGTCAGGTATATTTTTCAAACTCTGAGCTAAAGTCATTTAGACACTTTAAAATGGACAAAGTACTAAGTGATTTTAATCGAGACTGTTTCTTTAACTCTAGGTATAAATCCAAGAAAGCGTTGTTCATCCTAATTCATAAACAGCCACCAAAATTGTGGTACATAAAACTGTTTTTTGCTGTTTATTAATGCCCCTCCTCAAATTAGGGATATGAACAAGTAGTCGACTAGTTTCTTTCCCCCACCCCTCCTTGCTGCCTCTATCAGAAAAAGGGTGCTTCAAAGCAGCAATGCCACATGGAGCCCAGAACCTGCCACTTTGAAAGACTGTGTATAGCCCAGGTCTCCAGCTGGCCCCGGGCTGCATTTGGCATTTCAAAGCAGCAGTGCTGCATGGAGCCCAAGGTCAGCACTACTGCTTTGAAACACTGCATGGAGCCTGACACAAATTGCATCAACTATTTGATTAGCCCATTAATTTAAATTTAACCTCCCTACCTCAAATTTCAGTGTTACATGACTAGAAGCAGTATACTTTTCTTACACTGTATGCTGATGACCTCCACCATTGATTTCAATGGGAACCATGGAAATCAAAAGCAATATCTAGTCACAGATTTAATCATCGTTACAGTTTCTAGTGCTCTATGTTTGTAAGGTGTGAAAGAAAAGCAGATATGATAACTTCCTAGGGGCTACTGATATACTAATAGAAATAGGTTTGTACTTATAAAAAAGAAAATTATTCAGCCCTTGGGAAATCAACACTAAACTCCAAAGTACTAATTTCAACCATAAATATTAAAGTTGCGGCCCAATCCAGCATTGTTTTCCACCTAAGAGAACCCCTGAACCTAGGCAGGTATCAGTTTACTTCAGGCTCTTCTACACAATGTTTATCATTGCAAGATTGGAGACTATGATATAAAGTAATAATATATATGTACAAAAGATACCTATAGACTAACATTTCCCAAAGTGTGGTCTGCGGCCCAGTACTGGTCCTACTGTTAGAAAAGGAATACTGGTCCTATTAAAAAACGAATACCAGTCCTTAGAAAAATTATCGCGCACGATCCTATTAATTTGTGTGATGGGGTAACAGCACTCCGCCCAGCTGAGCACAGCAGCGTGGCCCTCTTGGGAGAGGGCCTGCCACTGCGGCATCTCTGCCAGGCATGCTCCCGAGTGGTGGGGCTAGATCTGGCGGGCACTAGGGCACAGAGAAAAGGCTGGGTGCTGTGCACACCAATACAGAACGCCCAGCACCAGACAGCGCTGGCCAATAAAGCGTCCGGGATTGGGGTCGGGGGGGGGGGGGAACAACCCACCGGGTGCTGTGTGCAGTGATGCAGAATGCCCGGCTCTGGACGCAGCTGGGGGAGCCAGCACCGGCTGATAAAGCAGCCAGGATTGGGGCCAGGAGGCGGGGGGGAGAGGCGGAACAACCCTCCAGACAAGTAGGGCCAGCAACACAATTTATTTGCATATTCATCATTTGCTTAATAAATATGCAAATAAATGTTACTGGTCCTCCAAAAGCTTGTGAATGGGTTTACTGGTCTCCAATATCAAAAAGATTGGGAACCACTGCTATAGACATTTATTTCTAAACCAAGAGCTGGTATTCGTTGCATTCTTCATAATCTTAGACATAGCCAATAGTGCCCTCTCATCCTGCAGTAATATACATTTCTCAACTTCAAACACAACAAACCCAAGCCAATGAGGGAACCACCTTCAGACAAGAAAAAGGTCTCCTGCAATAAAGGGAGACAAACGCGGAAGAAGTGTTGGGCACTTGACAGCTTCCAAGCACTGGAGCTGCGGTGTGAAGCACGATGTGGAGAGCTGGGGCACGTAGGCTCTTGCCCATGATGGTAAAGAGGCAGCTCCCAGAGCTTTCCAGGCACGGGGAGCCGATAGGAGTGAGTGAGATTTCCAAGCAGCGCCCTCCCGGCTCCCCCTTACACAGCGCGACTGCGCGAGCTGCGGGACTTACCTGCCCGCGGGCTGCTCCCCCTCCGGCTGGGGCGGGGGGTCCGGCCGAGGAGCGGCAGCGGCTTCGGGAGAGGCTGTCGCGCTAGACGGCGGCTCTGTCCTCGCCGGCGGGGACGCGGAATCCTGGCCGCGCTGCGGCTCCGGGGCCGACGGGGCGCTCGGGCCGCCGCCGCCCCTGCCCCCCGGCCTCACATTCGGCTTCACGCTGAGCCGGGCTCGGCGGAACATGGTGCCGGCTGCCCCCGTTCCCTCGCTCGGGGAGGGGGGAGAGGAGCGCTCGGCGCGGCCCGTGACAGCCCGAGGGTCACTCCCGCGCGGCCAGGAAAACGCTAGAGCCGAGCGTCTGGCTCCGCCGGCGCCGCCGCTTCATCTCCCTTGCCGCACACCGGGCAGAGCCTCCCGCACCCCGCCCTGCACAGAGCCTGGCGCATCCAAATGTCATCATCCTGCGACCGGCAAAGGGGCGGCCACGTGACGCGTCAAAAGCCCGAGCAAGTACAACGTCCTCCCCCCCTTCCGTAACCAGCGGAGGTGGCGAACACAGCTAGTAGGACGGAGCGCCGAAAGGGACAAGCTAGCGCTGCGTATCGCGAGTTATAAAGCACAGGTTAACGGGTTACCTGTTCGCATCCCAGTGGGTATGCGGGGGAGGCAGATGCACAGGGGTTCGGTAGATGAGGGAGAAGCTCGTTCCATGGCTGAGGAGCTATGGGGCCAGGAAGGAGACGGCGCACAGCTTCCTTCAGCCAAGGGACATTTCTGGAGGTGATCCTGCTCCAGCTGCTCTTTACAGGGGACGTTTTCTCCTCACTGGCTGCTCTGGGCACTCAAAACAATGTGCTTGCGGGGGGGGGTTTCTGGTATAAAGCAGCTTGTAAGTAAATATATTTGAGAATGTCACAGATTTATTAACCAATTCTTATTCTTAGTAAAATAACTTATCAGAATTTTTTTCTGCTCCTGTTTCTTGTGAGCCACCCTTAACGGCAACCAAATGGTGCCTTCTTATGAAGTGAAATATGGCAAGGAAAGCTGAGCTGCGTAATTAAAATAATAAATTCTAACAGAGAGAACTACAATAACAGTGGCTTGTTTAGAGTTTGGTTCTATGAGGTAAACTGTGAGTTGGCTCACTGGGAAATCTCATCCTCTAGCTCATGAAGATATTTGTAGAGAATTCCAGCACCAAGTTTCTAACTTGAGCCTGTCCATTTCAACAACCAAGTGTAGATGCAGGCCTTGTGTCCTGTGGTATAACTACTTCTATACAAGTAAATAGTAGTTTAAGCAAGCATTTCCTCACTAATTCTTTCCTTGCTGCTTTTTGTAAATAAAACCCTAGGATGTTGTTTGAGCCATGCGTTAATAGGAAATTATTCTCATTATACTCCTTATTGCAGAAGTAACGGTAGTTACAATTAGGAGCTTTAATTCAAACTACCTAGTCCGTGCCGCGTGTAGCCGCGGGCAGGGAGTTCGAACTACGGGGCATTTAAAAATGGCGGCACCCGGGAACTTGCAAATAAAGCCCGGGATATTTAAATCCCAGGCTTCATTTGCAAGTTTGAATGCCTACATTAGCCACCCTAGTTCAAACTAGGGTGGCAGTGTAGACATACCCTAAGTGGGGATGTGATAGAGATCTATAAAATCATGACTGATATGGAAAAAGTTAATAAGAAAAAGTTACTTATTCCCACAATAAAAGAACTAGGGGTCACCAAATGAAATTAATAGGCAGCAGGTTTAAAACAAACAAAAAGAAGTTTTTGTTCACTTAGCGCACAGTCAGCCTGTGGAACTCCTTGCCAGAGGATGCGGTGAAGGCTAGACCTTTAATGAGGTTCAAAAAAGAGCTAGATAGATTCATGAAGGTTAGGTCCATAAATGGCTATTAGCCAGGATGGGTAGGAATGGTATCCCTAGCCTCTGTTTCTCTGGGGCATATGGTATTGGCCACTGTCAGCAGAAGCAGACAGGATCCTGGGCTAGATGGACCTTTGGTCTGACCCAGTATGGTTATGTTCTAAACTCTGTAAAAAGAAAAGAAAAAAATGGAACAGAGGAAAACTGCCCAAGTTAGTTTAAAAATGTTTTGAAAAATTGTTCAGATTTTAAAATAGAGTGAAAAATAGCAATAATGAAAAAGAAGTCAATATGATACTGTGATGTAAACAGATAAGTTTGTATGTTCTCATAATACATTTGCCCTTGTTATCTGAACAGGGACTGGGAAGTTTCTGTGTTGCTGGGGAGGTATGCATGAGTCTAATTCTGTGTCCAAAGCAGGACCAATCCCAACTAAATCATCCCTGCCAGGGCTTTGTCAAGCCGAGATTTAAAAACCATTTAAAAAATCTTCCGGAATTCGGAGGAAAACGTTCGAAACCACAAGAAGGAGACTCCGACACACCCTGATTATCGTTTGAATGCGCATGTCCACAACCGCAGCACAACAGACTCACTGAAGCCCAGCCCAGCCTCTCAAAGCAGCAGCAGCCTGTACACGCAGCTGGTTGCGCATGCGCATTGTTGGCGACTCTCCCACCGCTCGGTGGCTCCTATCTAAAGCTTGGGGATGAGGAGGCGGTATGGTGACGTCTGCATATTTGTGACGCCTAGAGACATTTCCCTATATAAGGTGCTGAGGGGGCGGCGGAAGAAGGTTCTGGCAGTCGCAGTGCCTGGGTGAAGTGGTTGAGGTTCTTTTCCGTGCGCCGCGGCCGGGATCTTGCCTCGAGATGGCCCGTAAGTATCGGCCTGCCGGCCCCGCGGATGGCGAGAGCGGGGCCCACCGGCTCTGGGGCGGGCCCGTCACGAGGCGCCTCTTCTCCCCGCTAAGCCCTGCAGGCTTCTTCGGCGCCATAGCGGGCCCGTCCACCCTCCAGCGGCAGGAGGGGCCGGGCCCGCGGGGTGGCGGCCTCCCTTTGATCTCCACGGTACCGGCGCGGGTGAACGCGGCGGGCCGGACTTGGGCCCGCTGGCTGTCGCACTGTGACCTGGCTCCCTGGTGACTCCGCTTGTTCCTTTCTGTGAGATGAGTGTTCCTGGAGGGAGACCTCAGTGGCTGTGAAGGTGGGGCCTGTCCCGACGCGGGTCCCCAGCCTGGGCCCGCAAATCTCGTCCACCCACCTGTGGATTCTTATTCCTTCATGTGCAAAACAACTTCTATGTGCCCTGAAGTATGTGACCGTGCACCGCCACTAGCAACCAAGCCTAGCTCCAATCAGCCTGGTAGCATTTACATTTCTGAAGCGCACAGCTTACAGAAAACAGGGGTCCCCACACTCAATGCTGTCCCTGAAGTCAGTCTGACAGGCGTGGGCAGTTTGGAGCAAAGCAGTGTTTTCTCCTGAGTGGACTTTGCAGAGCTGTGTGTGAGCCACTGGTCAGTCAAGCTAGTAACTCAAGTTTAATTGCTGGCTGTCAGGCTAGGAATGTCCTTAAATGGCTACTAACTATCTAGTAGCAACCCTGCTTAATTGATCCCTGTCAGATGGTGTCTTCATTAATTAAGCAAAATAATTGGCGAAAAAGCAAACAAAAACATAAATTGTGCCACAACTAGAAGGTGTTGCCGGAAGCCATATTGCTCAGAATTAGGTGTTGGGGTGCCATTTGACTGTATTAATGGAAAACTGGAGTACACATTATAGTAGTAATTATCAGTGACTTCATTTAAGTTGATAGAAATGTAGCTGTGTTAGTCTGGTGTAGCTGAAACAAAACACAGGACTATGTAGCACTTTAAACAAGATGGTTTATTAGGTGATGAGCTTTCGTGGGCCAGACCCTCTTCCTCAGATCAAATAGTGGAAGAAAATTGCCAACCATATATACCAAAGGATACAATTACAAAAGAACACCTATGAAAAGGACAAATCAAATTTCAGAACAGAAAGGGGATGAGGGAGGGGGAGGTAAATGTCTGTGAGCTAATGATATTAGAGGTGATAATTGGGGAAGCTATCTTTGTAATGGGTAAGATAATTAGCATCTTTATTCAAACTTAGGTGTAAAGTGTCAAATTTAAGCATGAATGACAGTTCAGAGGATTCTTTCAAGTGTAGTCTTAAAAGGCCTTTGAAGTAGGATGTAGGTAATCAGGTCACTGAGACAATGTCCTTGTCCTTGAAGCTGTCTGTTTTGAATTTCAATTTGGGAGATGTTATATTCAGCTCCCTTTCTAAACCTGTAGCTTGGATTCACTGTAGTAATTCAAGCTTCTGAGAGAACTGGGTTAAGAGAAAACTTTCTCACAAATGCCCTCCAGCCTTAAAAGGAAGCTGTGTAGGCTTATGGCCAGTTAAATGGTGCTCTCAATCTCTTTATGAAGAGATGTGGTGTAGTGGGCACAATTTGAAGCCAGAAACAGGCATGGAGGATGTGTACTGTACCATCTCCTCCAATTCAAAAGTACTTATAAATGTAGATGGGCATGAGTATACTGCTTGTTGACTGTCCTAAAATAGCCATTGAAAAGGCACAGTGGTCCTGGAGACTTTTCTGCTATACTGAGCAATCATAGGGCACATCTGTACAGCAGGACTGAAGCCAAAATAAGCTAAACCACTTGAGCTACTAAAGTTGAAGTAGCTTTCAGCTTTTGGTGCTGTCTACATAGCAGGAAGTCTGAGAGCAGTCTTTCTCCAACTTCTCTTGCTCCTTGTAAAATGAAGGCTACAGGAGTCAGAGTAAGAATTTCTCCAGCTCAATATTATGTCGAAACAACTGCTTGTAGTGTGGGTGAGGACTGGTCTTGTGGCATAACATCAGTTCTGAAATAACACTACTATGTAGATATACCCCTAATGTTCAGTGTGTAACGAACTTACAGGTTTGGCCTGGTATGTGTAAAACTTTAATAATTGGACTAAACTAAACTTGGATTATTTTCATACTTTTGTCCCTTCATAGTGAAATCAACACTTATTGAGAGAGAAAAATCTAAACTTTCCAAACTTACTTCTAACTTAGCGTGAACTGCTTTATATATTGCAGAACTGTTCCATGCCACAAGTCTGCCTGAAGCTGAAGTGCCTAAGAACACTTTTACAAAACATTTAGGGCTGTGTCTAGACTGGCCAGTTTTTCCGGAAAATCAGCCACTTTTCCAGAAAAACTTGCCAGCTGTCTACACTGGCAGCTTGAATTTCTGCAAAAGCACTGACTTCCTACTGGAAAATCAGTGCTTCTTGCGGAATACTATGCTGCTCCTGTTCAGGCAAAAGTCCTTTTGCGCAAAACTTTTGCACGAAAGGGCCAGTGTAGACAGCTCATTTGTTTTCCGCAAAAAAGCCCCAATTGCGAAAATGGCGATCGGAGTTTTTTTGCGGAAAAGCGTCTAGATTGGCATGGATGCTTTTCCACAAAAAGCACTTTTTGCAGAAAAGCGTCCATGCCAATCTAGACGCTCTTTTCCAAAAATGCTTTTAATGGAAAACTTTTCCGTTAAAAGCATTTCTGGAAAACCATGGCAGTCTAGACATAGCCTTGGGTGTTTCTACAGGGGAAAATATAAATTCTCTTTGTTAAATTTGGGAAGCTCTAGCACTTCCTTGCTTCATAGAAGTGTTGCTGTTTTGCTTTGCAGAATTTGTCTTGTGAATCTAAACTTGGAGAGAGAAACCTCGAAGAGTGGTTTTAATAATGATTTTTACTGAGTTTTGTCTTGAAGTACTATGTTACTCTGTCAGTATACAATCTTAGAGTGGAGGTAAGGAATGGCAATTGCAACACATATATAAACTTGGATATTGTGTAGGTGGGAATCAGCGTGAACTTGCCCGCCAGAAAAATTTGAAGAAAAACCAGGAGACCCTCAAGGGGAAAAGGAAAGAGGATAGTTTGTCTGCTTCTCAGAGAAAACAGAGGTAAGCTCTAGTACACAGGGAACCGATCAGAAGGATGAGTGATTCTTTAAGCTTTTGTTACAAAAATAAGCAATATGTAAATTGCCTATTTTGAACTTCTGCAAATATTTTTAATTTGCTCAGACTTGGTTTCCCCTCCAGTATTTAGAGTTTAAATCCATCGTGGGTTGATGAGCAGGCCTCAAATGCTTCTGGATTCTACTGCAATCCTTGGTTTTGACTCCTTCCTAAAATGGAAAGTGGCAATAACTCCCCAGCCACTCACTTGAGGTGCCAAAATGGAAGTTCAGTTGCACAGTCTGAATATTCTTTCTTCCTTTTTGATTTGAGACTGAGTAATTCCTGGAAAATAAATTGGCACACATGATGAGACCAGACTTTGAGTACTTGCCTAAAAACAGATGGCGAGTTATATGGGCCGTGTGGTTCTCCAGCACCAGGGATGTTCGTGGCTTGGTGCTAGGTTCCATCAGGACTGCTGCCTGCATGTGTGTGAGAAGGCTCTCCCCCACCCCTGAACTGCCAGAAGGGGTGTCCCATTAAATGTGGTGCACCCATTCTCTGCCAGAGCCTGCACTCTTGTTGTATCAACCCACCAGAGTCCACACCACTACCCCACCCAAACTCCCTTTCAAAGCCTTCAGGTGAGTCATGGGGTGGGATTTGGGGAGTTGGTCCAGAGGCCTCACTTCTCTCCCATTCAGTCTGGGCACCACCAAAATGTTTGCAAACAGCTGTTCCTGCTAACCAAGCAATTAGCCATATCAGCCTGAAGAGCAGTTTTATCTAGTGGACATGAGATACTGTGAATGAGATGTGTTCATGTATGAATTGAGTCCCCTAGCATTCCTCTGAACTGAAAACAAGTGAAGGATTGTAAGGGGAAAAAACAGGAAGAGAAATGCATAACAGGGAAGACAACCTCTTTGAGGTGCATATCAAAGGTTTGCTTGAGTATATTTGAGGGGACAGAAGGGATACTCAAGTAGGGACCCTTCATTGAGAAAGAGAGCCTTCACTTCATTTAAAAGGGGTATCCAGTGGGTTTGGTTGAAAAAAGTAGCCTTTAAAGGCTACTAACTTCCTTACTCTTTGGAAAGCATGTAGTTTTGTTCATTAATTTCTGTAGCTATATCTGATACTATAGTAAAGTGACTGAGTACAGGCAGTCCCCGGGTTACGTACAAGATAGGGACTGTAGATTTGTTCATAAGTTGAATCTGTATGGAAGTCGGAACTGGTGTCCAGATTCAACCGCTGCTGAAACTCACCAGCGGCTGACTACAGGAAGCCCGAGGCAGAGTTGCTCTGCCCTGGGTTTCCTGTA